ATATATATATATATATATATATATATATATATATATTATATATATATATATATAACAGCATGATATACCATATCAATACAAATGGAGAAAGATTTCAGTGTATTTTTTCATGTATAGTGTTGCTCATTGAATTATACTCTTGTTACAATGCATGAGAAGACGTGAAAACAAACTTTCGTGAAACGTGTTTCAGCAAATGACGAAGTACTGCTGGAATCGTTTCGTAAATCCACGTTTTCTTTAGATAAGAATTATTGTGTTATAAACAAAGTTTCTGTCAACTTTTATGCAAAGCAAGAAGAAAATTATTTGCACTTTGTTAAAAGGAAATTTTTTTTGCTCACATAGTTTTACCTGATATCTGTTTTTTATTAGACGTCATAAGCCATAATTTCTTGACCACCATCTTTTGAATCAGAATAACGTCCAAAATTCTGGAATATGCGTTACTGACACTTTTTATCTTTTATAATGAATGCGAGTACAAAAAATTTTTCTCTTTTTTTCGGATATTTTGATTCTTATTTCATATCAAAGCTTGCCTAAATTTCTAACAGAAAAGTTGATAAAATTTCACTCTATTTACATACTGAAGACAAAAATAAACATATGGGAAATTAGCTCATGTTTTAATTGGATGGGTACTGAATTATTTGCCTATGATTCAATTGTTAAAGTGAGTTTTTTTCCTCATAAATTTGAATTTTTACAAATTTTACTGCGTATACGAAGTTATATCGGAGGTTAAACTTGTTATTTTTCTCTTTCTAAGGTTATCAAAACAATAACCGCGTGGTTAAGCAAATTATCACAACTAGCAATTTATCTTAGGTTTCTTGTGTGTTAGATCTTACTGTGTAAAGAGGTCCATCTGCTAATATTTTAGCATTTAAATGATTAACTTCTTACTTCATCGAAAACAAAAACCAGATTCTTATTCCTTTTGCAGTTACTTATGCAATGTCGAAGCATTTCTGAACATTGATAACTTCTGGCCTCTAGTTAAAATTGAGCAGGAATGTGTTAATATGTTTGCTTACTTGTACCTATGCTAATATATGGGAAGGAAGGAAATGCATGTATAGAGTTCTTTACTTATGCATTTGTGTATTTACTGAATATTCTTCGTTGTGTAAAGCATAAATAAACTTTGACCCTAAGTAACAACTATTAATGAATTTGTTACTCCGTGCATATGTGTATTTGTGTATGCATAGCCAATCACATTTGCATATTTTGTGATGACAGATAGGGGCGAGAGTGGAATGACTGTTTATCGGTTTCTGTCGATGCATCCTTGATGGGGTCGGTCTCTTCATGCTGCGCTCCAATTTATGACCTTAGGATGTCCATCTCTTAATTTTTCCTTTCAGTAATGGACTTCAGACCGACATTTTGTTACTTCCTTTTTCATGAGATACTCAAGAAATTTAACAGAAGTTGAGTATAGTTACTAGTAGAGTATTGAGTAGAGGTCATTATTCATCATCGAGGGTCATTATGTATTATCGATATAGCCAACCATTTCTTTTGAAATTAAGGTTCCCTTTGCGATATCATGCCGTTAAGTAAAATTAGCTCTTGTTGAAAATAGAAAGGATTCATCTGAAATTTTGCACTTAGTCTGCTTGCTACTGTTTCCATGTAGTGATAACTGTATGACAAATTTTGGATTATATGGTAAATATTAGCATTCATTATTGGCTTGCGTTCTGAGTTATGTTCAAGTTTTAATTAACAGGTCAAGTTTGACGGCTAAATTTTTATTTAAGGTATTTAGTAATGCTGTGTTTAGATTGTTGTGTTCTGCTTTGCACTAGATATATACGATATAGGCAGGTTTACGAGTAATCTACTCAGTAGCATAATTTATGTCTATTGCCCCTGAAAATTATCGTCATAGCAGTCATATTTTTAAAAACATGAATGTTCTGCTTTGTTTTCTGTTGCATGAAATAATCGCGCGCAGTGATCCAATACGCGTTATAAGAATTATTGATGTCTAGTATAAATCTATAAAAATATTTTCTAAAAAAATCTGTAAAAAAATGAATGCTTAGTCCTTACTGTTTAATGCTTAAGTAAAGTTGCTACTACTCAGCACTGAGATCGGTTTTACTTGTAATTTTCGAGATTTGCCTCATTTATTAGTGTTATAGACATAATATCCTTGTGAAAATTCTAAGGTATTTTGCTTGTTAGTTTTATGGTGTTTTCTAATATAACTTGGCCTTTTATTTTAAGTCTATTAGTTTTGCTTAGTTGTGCGTCTTCTCCACCAAACATTTTCGACCAATTAATTAGAATCTGTGTAAAGCTTTAAAAAAATATGTTACGTATTACTGCGAGTAAAAAATTGCAAATGCAAAATTTGACTACTAGCACAACTGGTTCTCAAACATATCTGCATAGCCTCAGAAAATATATCCGTAGAGAAAAATTTATTACCGCTTTGCGGCAGAATATTTGCGTGTATTTTTGCAGACACTATTTTCCAAATCCTCAAGAAATATGTGTAACACTGAACGGATGTCGCCAGTAAGTGTAGATTCTGGTTTTGATTCGTCGTTTCCATCTTCGCCGGACTGTTCATTAGATTCGCTAATTTGTGCTAGAAATATGGAAATGACCAAATATTGCAAAGATTTTAATTTGAAGCGACGACCTTCAGCAGTTTCATTCATATCTGGTTCCAGTTCGCAGTCGATTGCTGATATTACTGGTACAAAAAATATTGTTTGAAATCTCAGTTGTTATCATTCTTAATATAAAGTTGGTAGAACATTAATTTGTTATATTAATTTGTTGCAATAGTAAATAGTTTTTTATTTTACAAGCAAAACTGCACAAATTTGGTGTTTTAAAGAAATGTCTTCACTGGAAAATATATCAAACAATCAGTCGTTTATTTTTGAGAGGCAACAACTTTAAAGTTTAACTTCGGAAGTTTTCCACTTATTTTTCTATTAAACATTCTCAGTAAATTATTGAATTGGAATATGTATGAAGATGATAATTAGCTTTGTAATGTTTGTGATTTACTTATTACAGATATTTCTCAGTGTTCACTACCATTTTGTCAGCCATCATCTTCTTCAACAATTAGCCAGACATCAAGTGGTATTATTACTACTAGTAGTTTGGAATCTACTGATACAAAGACCAATGAAAATTTCCTTTTTAACTCATGTATTGCTGAAAAATCAGTGGTGATAGCATCGAGCGTTAGAACTGGTCAAAATTCCGAAGTCTCGTCGTTAGTAACATTAGGTAAGTTTATTATTTTTGCT